TGCCCCCCCCCCCCTCCCCACCGTTTTTTTTTTCTTTCCGGGACTGTCTGTTGTTGGTGTGATCTTGTGGTGGTGGATATCACTGGAGGTGCTTGCAGATCCCCAAGACTCCCCGATTATGAGCGATAACTTGACTCCCGCATGGGAGAGATGGACGGAGGGGGGTGGGGAGCACGCGCGTTGCCTTTTGTTACCGCGTTGTAGTTCCACCTTTCAGAAAGACAGACACGCAATAGCCGCTCTCTCCTCCTCCCTTGAGATTTTTTTTTTTATGTTTTTGCTTCCGCCGAGACGGCGTTTTTGGTTTTAGGGGGAGGGGTGTGGTTGTTGGACCGTGAGCCGTGTGTGTTTGTGTTGGGTTATCTTTGTTTTTTGTCGTCGTCTCAAATACTGCGGACGCGACGTGAAGAAGGGACGGATTCTTCGGACTTGCACGGATGACGATGCCGTGGGTAGTATATATTTTTTTGTCGTTTGCGTGTTTTAGGCGCTGCTGTGATTTCATGATGCTTACATGGGTATTTTAGTGTGTGCTACGTCCAGGAGGCGCGTGAGTCTGTCTTAAGGCGAAAGGGGGTGAGCGATAGAAGAGCTGCTTCACTGCTTTCCCCCCTCCATCTACCACTTGCTGTAGATCATGCCAACCAGGAGCTCGAGGACGCGGGCGGGCGGGGGGTGGGGATGGTAAGGTGACTCAATAAAGTTCCGAAGTCCCCCCGCAAGGTGGCAATGTTGGGTGTTTGCCCAAAACACGGCGAGGGGGGGGCGGGGAACGTGTGTGTTGTTTCTGGTTTGTGCACCGTCTTTGCTCCTCGTGCGCCACCCATGCGGGCTTGGTCAGAGCGGGGACCGGTTCGTGGCTGGGTTGTGCGTAGGTTGTAGGGAATGGTTGTGCTGTGCAGGAGAATAATAACATGTGTCGTGCGTCTTGTGTCACTACAGCAGTACAGAGGCTCCCATTTGCTTCCAACGAACGGCGTTCGCTCTACAAATGCCTTTGTTCCAGCGGACCGAAGCGAGAGCCTTGGAGCTTTGCTCTCGATCAGGAACCGAGCGGGGGAGAACAGCAAACAAGGCGGGCTTGCTTGCGCGAACTCGTCGTTCGTGCATTTGTTATGTGGTGTGTAGAGGCGTCCCACGCTCCTCTCGCTGACGACGACGACGCGGACAGTGACACGCGGTTCTTGTTTTTTCCCAAGTTCGGGGTCTCTGCCGACCAAAGTCCTTTTAGTTGTCTGTCCTTTTTTTGTCTGTGTCAATTTAATTCGCAAACATGTACCCCTACCCTTGGCCGATCGGGCCTCAAAAAAGCCGATCTCGGCCCACACTGCTGTGAACCGCGGAGAACTACCAGTAACTCCTTTGTGTAGCTGGGAAGATTTCAAGACGGTCAGTGTTGTTTGAGCAATTATTATCATCGCTTGCTAGGAGCAGCAGGTTGACTTGTTGCCGAGGGCCCTTCTTTCCTGAAACGTTCATCATCAATCTCAACACCAAGTCATGCAGCGCGCATCATGCAGAGGGTGTGTGCTTGCTAGGGAATCTCGCAAACACAAGCAGCCCTTTGTAGCCAAGATTGGATGATTGCACGACCTTTCCAAAGGGAACGAGCAGCTATTGTTTGTACGTATTTTTTCCTGATGACTCTTCTTGTTGTGGTGCTGTCGCCGACCGAGGCGGAGCGCAACTCGCGTCCGTGGTACGATCGGCGCTCTTGCGATTGAGCGTGTCGCTTCGAAACCGCTGAGGTGTCCTTCTGAGGAGCTGATGTCTACGCTAGCGACAGATTCTGAAGAAGACGCGTTGTCCGACTCTCTAGACTATAATGAATGGTAGATGCAAGCGCACAGCATTGATCGCTAAACGACGAGGGTTCGTTGACACCATCGGAAGAAGAGCACGGACCGACGACACGCCCGGCGTATTGTCCCGGGTGTCGAGTTCGAGTTTCTTGGGAAAAGGTCTCTCCGTCGACAAGACTCAATCTGTCCCACAGACACTCGACGTTGTCGAAACACACAAAAAAAACTAATTTATCGGGGGCTGGATGTGGTTCCGAGTGCGGAAATACTTGCCGCTGTGTACCTGCGTACCTGCCCTACTTGAGCAACACCTTCGCTACCACATACATTCGACGGTTTTCGGCGACAAACTATCACCTGTGCTGTACGGCTGCTGTTCTGCAGAATCAGAACGCAGACGGCTGCCGTGCGTGACAACTCTCGTCCATGAACATATCTACATATGACAACCCGAGGATTACAGGTGATACCCCGGGATACATACATACTACTTGCAAATAGAGAACGTGTATTATTTTTCCCGTTGTGGTCAAAAGAAAGAGCATATTGTGAGCTTTGTTAGCTTGAGATTGTTGTGCTGTTCTGTCGAGATTGATCGATCGATTCGATTCGGCCAGAGGGCCCCCTAGCATAGCAATGTACTGCTGCCAACCCTTGGTTTTTTTCCTGCGTTGCGGGACAACATTTCCCGAGTTTTGTTCTTGTGGCCTTCCCGAAAGGTTCCGAGCTGAGAGATCTCGGAAATTGAATGCGGCAGTTTCGCTGGTGAGAGAGGTGAGGTACAGCAGTAGTTCACACTCGGCCTACGCCTCCTGCCCCCACTCTTCCCCCACAACCCCCACACACCAACTCTTCTCTGCCACACGTACTCGTGTTGACGTTCAGTGCACAACTCTCTGCGACGCTTAAGTTTGCCATGAAGGTCATCGGAGTTGCTGCGGCGCTGCTATTGGCAAACGGGGTGGGTGCCTGTGTGGAGATCTCCGGCGCGAACTGGTACCAGTGTGGAGTTGCATTTCGGGATACTCCGGAATCGTGCTCTCAAGCCATTTTGAGCTTCAGAATCAGGCGGGAGAACAGCGACGTGAGTGAGTGGTTTGGTCGGGTATATACGCACAGCAGCAGTAGCACAGAAGAGATAGATACGGGGAAGTTTTATGTCGTCAGACTTTTGTTCGCCCCTGCACGAACTATAAATATGAATAGCTAGACTACATATAACAAAGTAGTACTCGAACCGCATATGCATAGATATATGAATGTATGTCGAGACGTGTCTGGGGGCTCTATTAGTACTGTAAATAGTACTGTCGTTGTAGACTACGTTTTTGTGTACGCCACATCTTTTATACCCCGGCGGGATTATTTCAGCCATGTTCGACCGGCGCTGGCACAAAGCTTAATTCGAAAACCCTTGCTCTTGTCGTTGCCCCCCTCTTGTTGCGTACTGGGGACCTGCGCAGTGCCTTGTGTCTAACCCGATCGTGCAGGTCGATTTCGCAGGACCTATGGTGATTGACGGAGCTGTACACAGCGGCACAGAGTGGATCTCGGGGGACGTCTCCGATGATAGCACGAGCGTTGTCTTCGACACTACCAGCAACCTTGATCTAGGTCCAACCTGGGTTCCGGTCGGGGAATCGTATCTATGGTAGATTTCATCTTCGAAATCCTTACATCACAGCAGCTGGCGGAGTTGCTGAGAGCTCTACTTGAGCATGCCGCGGCCAAGGGCAACAAAGACCTCGCACAGCGGCTGGTTAGGGCGGGAGCGGAGATCGGTGATGCACTGCATAGGGCCGTTGATGGCGGGCATAGAGAGATCGTGAGCGATCTACTGGAGAGTGAAGCATCACTTGCTGCAACGGACATGGATGGCCGCACTCCTCTTCACATTGCTGCCGAAGTGGGGGACGCAGATATGGTGCAGCTTTTGTTGCTCAAGGGGGCTACCACAGACGTGATTGACAACCAGGAGATGACGCCGCTGATTGTGGCAGCCTGCTGTAATCAGGTGGCTGCCGCACTTGCTCTCTTGGCTGCCGGCGCGGACATCACCCTTCGATCCACTCAATTCAAGTGCCCAGCTACTCACGCGGCGGCTCTAGAGGGGCATGTTGAGATTTTGAGGGCTATCATCGAGCACGGGGCGGACGTGGACGCTGTCGACGCACAGCAACGCACAGCTCTTCATGCAGCCTCTTGTTTCAACAAGACAGAGGCCGTCGATGTGCTCGTCGAGGCTGGGGCACACATCGAAGCACGGGATAAAGATGGCTGTCCCCCTCTTCATTATGCTTTCGGCAACCTCAGCCACGAAGCCTTGCTTTGCCTTTTGAAGCATGGTGCAAACGTCAACGCCCAGAGCAATTCCCTTCTAACACCATTGATGAAAGCAGGACGTCAAGCCGGTAGACAAGGAGCTGCAGAGGTGGTGAACTCTCTGCTGAGGGCAGGTGCGGACGAGACAATCGCCAACGTTCAGGGCAACAAAGCGGTAGATATGATCGGGGAAGATGTCGAAGAAGAGGACCGACTGACCGAGGATGTCGAGCGCGTGAGGGAGCTGTTGGCCAACGCTCCGGCTGATAGGGCATGGCGTCGCCGAGGCTACCTGATCATGTGCCGTGCTCAACCGGATAGGGTACCGGAGAGGAGGATGACGAGCGGCACCCACTATACCAACGTAGCACGGAGGACTCGCAGCCGTGCTAAGATGGCAAGAGCAAGGGGGATCGCGGGGGAGAGCACGGTGGATGAGAGTACCGGTGGCAACTGGGCCGTTGTGGTGTCGAAGGTGATTTCGTTGCAGGAGGAGGGTATATTCCGCACGATCGTGGAGTACCTGTGAAGCCGGTGAGATGATCGTATGTGAAGCTTCAATTCACCATCACACAAAGGAGAACAACATTTTGACAACAGAATTGTAGTTGCTGTTTGTTGTGTAGTTGGCAGTGGTGGCGCAGTTTGGGTAGATACAACACAGAGTGATCATTAGATCCAAAACACAGGCGCCCAAGCTGTCTTCACCTGACGGTTACAGACTTGGAGACACGCCTTCACAATACTGCACAAAACCCATGCAGTAGAATAGAGTCAGTTCTTGCATACAAATCCCAACATGTCCTCTCAAGAACTACGTCATGACTAGCTCTGATACATAAGACACAAAATTCTTTCTCTCAGTGTCCTCTCGAAACAAATACCAGTGTCCTCTCGACAAATGCTATCAACATGAATGCATGCTCTCGAACAATTCAAATTGAATACTCATCACTAACTGCCAGAGTTTTCTGGGCAGCGAATTCCATGTACCGTCCAACCCTTTTAAGACATATGGTCTGATTTCGGTAAGGGGAGGTACTCACACTCCAAGCAAAATAAGGCGGTTCTGCAGGAACTTCACAGCTCCCGAACTTTTGGTCAATATGTCTGCCCTCTGCCTGTTGGTGTCGATGTAAGTTACATCTACCACGTTTTGGTCCTCTAGGTGCCGGACGTGGTGGAACTTCACGTCGATGTGCTTCGTGCGGGGCGTGATTTTGCTACCCTTTGCGAACGCTACGGCACCCGCGTTGTCCTCGTACAATACTGTTGCTTGCTTCTGCTTCATCTTCAACGACTCTAGCAAATTTCGAAAATGTATAACCATGAGGCACGCCTTGGACAGCGCGACGACTTCTGCCTCGAACGTGGAGATGGCCAGCACCGTTTGATTCTTGGCTATCCAGATCACTGGGCCACCTGCGAGATAGAGAACGACACCGGTTGTGGAGTAGCCCTTGTCTTGGTCACCGGCAAAGTCAGAATCCGCGTACGCCGTTAGCTTGTCTCCGCCGTCGGCGTCTTCGGTGTATGTGATCCCGATAGTGGTTGTCCCTTTTAGATACCTGAGAACCCGCTTCAGCTTTGCCATCGCCTTGGGACCCGGTTTCGCCATGCTCTTCGTAAGCACCATCACCGAGTGGGTAATATCCGGCCTCGAACCCCTGCTGAGATACAGGAGACTGCCCGTGGCGGACCGGAAGTACACCGTGTCCTCTGGAGACAAAACCTTCTCCTCCACGGTGCTGATAGGCCCAGCCTCCGCAGGCGTCTTCGTAGAGTGCGCGTCGGCCATTCCGAACTTGTCAAGTACGGCCTTCGCGTACATCTCCTGCGACAGGAAGATCGTTCCGGCGTCGACGTTCCTCTCAAGTGCCATACCGAGCAGGAACTGTGCATCTCCCAGGAACACTGTGTCGAACCGCTCCTTCAGCTGCTCGACGACCCGCATCACCTGCGCTTCGTCGCTTCCCGACAAAAGAATGTCGTCGACGTACACGAGAAGGAGGACCCCTCCCGCGTTAAGGATGTAGAGACAGGGGTCCGCCGTACTCTGAACGAACCCGATCTCCAGCAGGAAGTCGTGGAAGGTGCCGTTCCAGCCCTTCGGAGAGAGGCGCAGCCCGTAGAGCCACGCCTTGAGTCGCCACACTTTTCCCTGTTGTTCCGGAGAGCACTCGAACCCTTTCGGAGGGATGACGTAGATCGGTTTCGCATTTGCAGGAACCCGCGCGTGGAGGAATGCCGTCTTGATATCGGCTTGCTTCAGGCCAAAACCATTCTTGGCTGCGATAGCAATCAGCAGGTGGACGGATTCCATGGACGCCACAGGCGCCGCTTTATCCTCGCCCGTGTCTGCTTGGTGAAAGCCTTGGACCACAACGCGGCTCTTCAGTCGAGCAAGCTCGCCATTCTTGTACTTCCGCTTATAAAGGTACCTTGACGGGATCGGCTGGTCCTGGGCACTCGTCGGCGGCTCGACCCAGTCGTACACATCAAGGTCGACAAGCGACTGGTTTTCGTTCCGCATGGACTCTTGCCAGTCTAGAGCATCCTGCCCACGGATCGCTTCGTCGTAGCTCGAAGGGTCGGGAGCCCTGTAGCCCACTTCGCCAGGGTTGCCAGTCCCGTTGTTGCCAAGCGAGCTTCCGGTGAGCAGGGAGCGTTCCACTTGCTCGAAGGCCTCCTCCTCCGTGGCAAAGGTAAACAGGTTCAGACGTTCAGTCGGCTTGGGGTTCCTGGTGCTGCGACGGGGGCCCGGCTCTTGCGCCTGAGGCGTGGGCTCCGGCTCGTTATCCTTCTGCTCGTCTTGTGGCTCCACCACACTGTCGACGTCGTCATCAGACTCTTCCGGACCGGGATGGTAAATCATTGGAGTCTCTGGCAGCGGATCATGCCCTGCCTTGGGGGGAACCACGTCGCGCGGGGCTTTCTCGCGAATAGAAACTTCGGCGGAGTTGGTGATCTTAAACTTGTCACGAGGGGACCATAGCCTCCACGACCGGCTTTTAGGGTTGACACCGACCAGAAACATCTTCTCAGCCCTGGCAGCCAGTTTGTTGGGCCTGTCCCCCGCTTCCACGTGCTTAAAGCATACCGAACCGAATTCGCGGATGTGGTGCAAGCTGCCAAGCGGTTTGTTCTCCCATACCTCAAGTGGTGCCTTGCCGCCCAAGACGTCCGTAGGCGTGCGATTCAGTATATAGATCGCGTATTGGAACGCTTCGGCCCACAGACTCTCCGGTAGATGAGGTGCCCCAAGAAGAAGGCGCCGCGTTATGGCTGCGACCGTGCCAAAGCCACGCTCGGCGACGGCGTTGCCTTGAGGCATGTACGGGGCGTTGGTCTCGATTTTGATTCCAAGTGATGCTGCCAGCGCCGCGAACCTTCCCTTGAACTCGCCCCCTCCGTCGCAGTGTAGCGTGGTGATACACAGTCCTTCCGGGTCGGCTTCCTCCTTGACAACAGTTTCCAGCGCCTCAGCAGCTGCATCTTTGCTCTTGATGGGAAAACCAAACCTCATGCGGGTATTGTCACACGTGAACATCACCGCACCCTTGTGTCCACCGAGAGATTTTACGGAGTGCGACCAGGTGTCTACGTGCAAGAGCGCAAGACGAGTGCCGGCGCGAGGTCGGTTAGCCGGTGGGTGACTAGACTTCTTGCTGTTGCCGACAGCACATACCTCGCAGTCGCCAGACTCGATGTTTTGGTCAAATTTAACCCCAGAATGCTCCTTCCTCGCCAGCTGCTGGAGGGCGCGCGGATTACAGTGGCCCATCCTCCGGTGCCACATGTGTGCATTCACCTTCGTCTTGAGCAGCATCGCGGTCCCGTCCATCCTCATGTCGTCGAGGACAATGTTCACGCTGTACATCCGCGAAATCTCCGTGGAGATGGGGAAGGCCTGATCGCTGCTACGGAGTGCTGGAGGAGTAGACAGAAGATCGCACATCACCCCCCTTTCCTTCAGGGCTCCGACCGAGAGGATGTTCGCTCCTAGGTTGTCAACCAGTAGTACTTGTAGCTCCACCGGGACGAGTTGGTTCCGGTCGTTTGAGATGCCGAAACGCAGGATACCTTTCTGAGCCGCGCTCGACGTTCCACACGAACCTTTGATCCTCACGTTGCAGTCCGACTTCTCGGTCACGTGGCGAGATGCGTAGGAATCCGCGCTAACCATGTGGCTAGACGCTGCTGTGTCTACGAACATAATGGTGCTCCTGGCGGACTCGTCCTTAACCTGGTACACACTGGTGTAGGCAACTATATCTGTTGCATCAGCAAGCGGGTTCTGCACCTGAACGTCACTAGCAGCATCAGCAGCACGCTCCTCGGGCAGCGGCACAGCAGGGGTATCCAGCACTTGCTCATCGTCGGCAGCGCGCTCCTCTGGCAGCGCCGCGGCAGGCGCCTCCGCCACCTGCTTCTCAGCAGCAGCGCGCTCATCGGGCAGCGCCACAGCAGGCGCATCCAGCACCTGCGCATCATCAGCAGCGCACTCCTCTGGCAGCGCCGCAACAGGCGCCTCCGGCACCTCCTCCTCAGCAGCAGCGCGCTCCTCCGGCAGCGCCGCGGCAGGCATTTCCAGTGCCTGCGGATCGTAGATGACAAGACCTTCCTGCACGCCCACGGCGGCGCGCTTCTCCGGCAGCGCCGCGGCAGGCATCTCCAGTGCCTGCGGTTCTCCAAACGAGATGGAAAAGTCCTCCGGCTCACCGCTGGATTCCTCGACTCGGGTGAACCATGCCTGCGTGGACGGTTCCGGCGCGGCGGCATTCGCCTGTTGGGCGTTATCCTCTCGCACGTTCTCCAGGCGAAGGGGGCAGCCGTCCCATCCGTGCTCTGTAGAGTTGTGGCAGTACTTGCAGCGTCCCTGACGGTCTCGGCCCTTTTGGTGACTTTTGTTTCCGCCTTTATTGGACTTGTTGCCGCGGCCTCGCCCGCGCACATCTTGCGCGCCTCCAGGGCTATCGCCTCTGGAATTTCCGGCGGAGGAGCCGCTGCTGCCGTTGTCTCCGGTCGGTTGGCTGCCATTGCCTTGGCGGTTGCGTCCGCCGCGTCCGCCACGTCCGCCTTGCTTACGGAAACTACGTGCACCCCCGTGCACGACCGTGTTGTGGGCACGGCCGTGGGCAGAAACCTTCCCCCTGATCTGCAGTGTATGGTACGCGGTCGCTCGGTGCGCGACATTTTCGAAGTCAAGATCCAACTCCGAGCCATCGGCTTGTCCGCACACCAGCGCGGCCTTAAGTTGGGCGTAGTGCTGGTCAGGAAGCGCGTTCAACAAGATATGCGTCTGGCGGGCTGGTACGACCTTGTCTCCAAGTGACTCGAGTTCGGAACTGATACGACGCAAGTCTTGGATTGCACGCGCCGGGTCGTAATCGTCCTCGGCAGTGACCGCAAGTGATCCTAACTCTCGCTGCAGTTCATGCATCCGATAGGTGCCCTTCTGGCGGTACTTCGCTTCTAGGGCAACGTATGCCGCACGTCCGTCCCCATGCTCACCAACGCGAGCGGGGCCGAAGGCTCGAACGACTTGGGAAGCAGTGCTCGAGAATCCATCGGCGCAGTCGGACGTAGCAAAGTTTAACCGTGTGTACAGTTTGCCGTTCTTACGTTTGAATTCCAGCGTCGTCCTGTCGAACGCAGCACGATCCGAATCCGCGCTGCTGGCCGCCGATGCCGGGGCGGTCTCCGTCCCAGCCATGATGTCGCCTAATCCTTGCTCATCCATGATGGAGTAGAACAGGCCACTCCAGCCGTGGAAATCTTCCGGCTTCCCGCTAAACGGGACGTATCCTTGTTTCAGGTAGTTCGTGGCGGACGCCATGCTGCTGCTGGGGTGTGACTCGATGTGAATTACCTACCAAACGCTAGGCTCATGACCTGACAACAGAATTGTAGTTGCTGTTTGTTGTGTAGTTGGCAGTGGTGGCGCAGTTTGGGTAGATACAACACAGAGTGATCATTAGATCCAAAACACAGGCGCCCAAGCTGTCTTCACCTGACGGTTACAGACTTGGAGACACGCCTTCACAATACTGCACAAAACCCATGCAGTAGAATAGAGTCAGTTCTTGCATACAAATCCCAACACATTTGTTTATTTATTTGAGGTATTTCGTGGGGGGGCGGGTGGCGATTGGGGAGCCCTGAGTCGGAGTCGTTGTTGGGGAAGCTGTTGGGGTGTGTTTGGTCCCTGGTGTCATTTTTATACTGTACAGCTTCCGATCGGCATGCTGATGATGTTGGTGGTAGTTGAACGGCACGTTGATGTTGATGGGATTTGAATACATACTTATTTGGAAATTGTATCTGGTGCGAATTCAGCTTCTTGAGGCTCGATCAATGGAAAACCGCGGATTGCCATGCCGCCCAGCTGAGCCGGTTGCTGGTTCGTTGTCTGTTCGCCTGATTGCCCACAGGCCCGTCTTGTTGCGTTTTCCCTCCCCTTACGACTGACCCTAGTCCGTTCTTCTTGCGGCTCTCACCCAAACAGCAGGAGAGGCACTAGTCCGACAGGCGTGGCGTGGGTCAACGGATATGTGTATGTGGAGAAATGATTTCCCGAGGATTCTCTGTAGACTAGCCGAGTAGATCACTCTCTCGTGTGGATCCTACCGGCTTGTCGTGGCATCGTAGCTGTCCTGGTCATCTCCGGCAATCGTGCGTGTCACCAGCTCGACTAACGTCGACGACACAGCCTCTCTGTTTCTTGCCAGGGCATACCGCAACATCCATCGAAGATGATGAAGCTGGTCCCGTTGTTCTTTGTTTTTTTTCACGATGTCGAAGACCTCCGTTCGCGTCCCCCGCTCCGGAAGGTGTGTGAGTCACCAGAAAGCATTCATTTTGGTCTTGTACGTTCCTATGAGTATCCTGCTGTGTACCTAAATAGGCTCTTGCTTTGTGTAGCCTACTGCATGCCTTGTACCCTGTGAGGCGTCGCGCATCCCCCTGACGAGCAGCAGCTCTCGCCTTTTAAAGCTGTGGGCTGTGCAGGGACTCGCCCTCCCCGCGGCTGTGTCTGCGTCGGGAGATTGTGGACGCCGAACTCCTCCATCCATGCAGCAGCTAGAAAAATAGCAAAGGCAAAAGCAAATGTCTGTTCGCCTGCTGTGCACGTGTGGAAATATATTGCTGGATTTTTAACAACGTATACAGAGTAGAGGCGCCGATTTCGTGGCCTGCTCCGAATCCGCTGCACCTCCTTGCCGACCGCGCCGCCCCGCCTCGCTTCGATAGGAACCACTATCCAAAAGCCAAAAGAAAAGGAAGAAAAAAATTGCAAGAAGAAATGCCAAACGCCGTCAGCAAGAGATTACTCCCGAGGACGCGTGCGAGGAGGAGCCCGAGGATGCATGCGAGGAGGATCCTCTCGAGGACGCGTGCGAGGAGAAGTGGATCGAGTTATGGTTCTTCAACAGGACCGACAACTGCGTTTTCTCGGTCCTTGAGGTGCGTTCACGTCGATCGCCATTGGAAGCAACGAGCCGCGGTCTTCATGACACACCTAGTATCGCGGGCTGTTTCACCTGCCTTGCTGTGCATGTGGTATCAGTGCATACAACAAACCGTCCGAGCTCCGCGCTCTCGTCACACACAACGGCAGTACCCGCCGACTGCCTTGCCCTGAGAGAAGATTCGTCCGTGCAAATACAATTGCGATTTCAGGTACCGGACTTCATCTCACTGGCGGACATGGGGAAGAATCTTCGCGCCCCCTCCAACACAAGGACGCGTAAGGTGGTGAAGCAAACATTCCTTCGAAGTGGACGAGGCGGACAATCAGGGGTGAGTTTTGTATGTTTCGTATGGTTTTGGGACGGTGGTTCCGTACTAAAGAGCCCTTGGCTCTCGTCCTCATGTACATTCTCTATAACCGTCACACGGCTTGCAAACGGGCGTCGCTGTAGTCACATTTCTCACACCAGCGTGTTCCACGTGTCCTGCAGAAATGCGCTCTGTATGAGCTCAGATTCTTCACAGTCAAGGAGACCGTGCAGCATCTCACCGGCTTAAGATTGGACAAGCTCGACCTGCAAAAAGCGGCGGAGCTGGAGATGACACACATGATCAGGCAAGGAATGACGCAGAGATGGTTCAGAGCTGAGGAGGCCCGAATTACGCTCAGGTTGCTGTTCATCTTTTCTCTTCAGGAGCTAAAGTTGACTGATTCACGGAGAGAACAATTGTGGACACGTGCCGTTGAGCGCTGTTCTTCCCAGGGAACGGTGTTGCGTGTGTACGACTTGTTCGACTCGGACGTTTTCGACTCGAGCTACGCCAAGGACGCGATAAAGTGAATGCGAAGAATAAAGGTAGCTGAAAACCTCACACGCAGTGACCATTGTATTTTGCACCCACACCATCAGGACGTGATAGGAGAGGAGGCAAATGTAGACGTGGCAGGAGTCTGTGATAGCGTGGTGGAAGAGGAGAGAAGCGATGACGGGAATACGGACTATGGGAGGGGGGGTGGTTCAATGGGTGATGACGAGCAGGTCCCTAGAGTCGAGGCGCTCATACAGACCTTAGAACACTTGACACCGGATGAGGTCTGTTCTTTTCTCGACGATCTGATGGTCTCCCGGTCGAGTGAGGGATTTGTCTGTCCAGAGGACTCGCCTGCAACAGGCTACGATCTTGGCTTGGTGTGTAAAGCATTGCAGATAGTAAGTGAACGACAACCTTGCGTGGCATACCACTAATCGATAAAGACTCTACCGGAAAAGCCACGGGACAAGCCACAGGGCAAGAAACCGACGACGGGGGGGGCGACATGGTGCAGAAAGCGTGCTGTGTTCGTCAAGGCGTTGAGCAACTGAAGCAGAATGCCGAGAGAGCAGGCAAGAGTTCCCCAGAGATGGAACACCTCGCGCAGTACAGCTTCTTCGTAAAGAAGGCAGTAGACCCGTGGTACGTGTGTGTGCTAGAAAAGCTTTCGCTGATGCCCCAGAGAGAGTTCAAATTGCTGTTTAAGAAAGCACTAGAGGACGAGGAAGACCCTTCGTATGACGACTATCGGAAGATGAGCGTTATATTGGAGGACGACATCCTGCACGGACTGATCTGTGGCCCTATGAAGAAAGTGATGGAGGAAATAGGGTCGGAAGGTGGCCGTGAAGTTGGTACGTGTGCTCTACTGTTGTCTCTGCGATGCCCCGAGTTTCTTGAGATTCTTCAAGGCATGCATGCAGACATGAACAACCTCTACGATTGGGGGGAAGATGTAGGCTTTTCGCTAATACCGGTAGGTCCGAAGGGTGGAGCGGTTGACCTGTACCCCGAGTCGTTCGATGGGTGGGAGGGTAGCAAGAAGATCCCCTCTTGGTACATTCAGAAGCCATGGGGCATTTTCAAGTGGCTGTGGAAGCCGTATCCGGTCAGAATCACTCTGGAGCCTGGGGAAATGGTCTGTTTCACCGGTGTAACACGCCACCGAGGGGTGTCATATCCCTTTCAATGCCTTCGTTTTTTCATGTCTTGGGTCGTGAAAGATGCAGCGGTCAAAGCCGAGAAGGAAGGGGAGGGAGCCTCGACCAACAACTTGGAGTTGGAGGGCTTCCCTGAGACGAGAGCGATACCGTTCGAACAGTGGAAGCAGATGACGGCATAGATGGCGTGAGATAACCTTTTCCTAATGGAAATATTTGGAAGTGTGTGTTTCCCCCTTTGTGATTTGGTTTTGGGTTGGTGTCGAGTGGCAGCGACACTGTTAAATAGCCGATGTTTATTCTTTCTCTCGAACACATAGCTCAACGGTTTGCCTTTGCATGTTGCCTCTGTAGAGCACCGAATAGGTATTATTTCGGCGAATGGTGTACTTTGGTGGCAGCGCAATGGCTCCCTTCTGTGACTACCCCATGTAGCGCACCGAGCGGCATTATTTGGTGAGTGGTGTACTCTGGCGGTAATGAGCGCATTACCCCTGTAGAACACCGAGCCTAGTGATGACGGTAATAGTGCACTCTGGCGGTAGCATACAAGGTCTGCCTTTGCGTATTGCCCCAACAGAACACTGAGTCGTACTGATCCCGATGAATAGTGCTCTCCTGTGGGAATGCAATGGTTTGCATTTGGGCGGCGTCACCACGCCCTCTGTGGCACGCACAGACACCATCACACCTCTACTACGTGCCCACCCTTCAAAACCTTCCACTAAACCATTTTGGAGATGACTCACGAAGGCTTCCTCTCGGTCATTTTCAGTGGAACGACCATTGAACACTCCAATCGTTAATCACACAGGCGTGTGCACTTTCAACATTTAACAAACCCCACGGGGCAACGGCTCCGCAAATCCCATCTCTATCTCCGCGTTGAGACTGTTCTGCAGGGTGACGCCAAACTTCTGAGCCTCGCACCACACGTCGAAAGTAGAAAACATTTCCTGCCTCGACACACCGACAAACCTCTGCGACTTGGTAACACGGGACGTGTCCGCCCCGCATATTTCGCCCAACTCGATGGCCTGTGGATCGACGTGGTCGTAGATCTTACCATCCGCGTCCTCGAGCCATGTGTGGTAGCTGCTGTTCTTGATCTGAAGTGGGTCCCCCACAAGAGACTCTCCACCGTACACAACGTGCACGTCGCGTCCGTTTGCGTCGGCGAATCCGTACACCCCCACACGTGCGCGAAGCTCCAAGCCGAGGGTCCTCCTGAAAAACTTCGAATTTTCTAGAACGTTATGCGGACATCGACCGGATATCTCCGTGTACCCGTCGCATCGCGTTAGCGCGTGTTTTATCGTCGGTGTAAGCCTGTCGCAGCAGCAGGTGGTGCTGGTTAGCGGACAAGAACACCCATGCACGAGGTATCCGCGGAGGGCGTCGCTGCGCACGTACAACGGTCCGATACACCCCTTGGGAGTTGCCGGTGCAAAGCACAGCGACACTGGGGGGGGAACGGTGGCAAACCCCGCTCCGCTCTCTTCATAGCCTTGGTCTTTCCGCTTCCTTTCTTCTTGTTTTGAGGCATGTCCACGAGGAGGGTCGTGTTAACACGCCACACTATCCGTTCACACGATGCTGTGCGTGCTGCCTGCGCGCTGTGGTCTGCTGTGCAGTCCCGCGCGCACAGGTTCCGGTTCGACTAAATTACATGGTGAAAACTACAGCCAGCCGTTTCGAAATATTTCCAACGCTGTCAAAATTTCGCAATGTAGCCCGCTGTGGATGGAAGATTGTGGAGTTTGGCCGTGAAACTCGGTGAGCATCGTCTCTGGGGGTAGGAGATTCCTGGCGGGTGATTTGGATTTTGTTGTCCAGCGCCGTTTGCCCGGCGGGGCGTTTGTTTTATTGCCTCTGTGTGTTTTGAATCCACCTAATTTGTAGGTATTGCGTGTCCCGACGGCGAGTTCAGCTCCGCAAACACTGCTGACACGACGCCCTGGGTCAGAAGCTGTACGTACAAACAAGTCCGAGGTAAATCAGAGCACGGGGTGGTGAGGAACCTCGATCTTTGCTATTCCCCCCGCATCACCGCCGAAACGGCAAAATTGTTTCTCCGGAACTGGAAGGTTTGAGCTCTGCACGAATTTTGCCTCTCACATCTCACTTTCCCCCTCGGTACAGCGCGGACATCGTACCCCACGGCAGCGGAGCGTAACAGGCCTAGCTGGGAGATCTCTGGAGAGCTGTGAGAGCGCGAGGTATGATATGCTGTCGCTCTGTCTGCTTGCGAACCCGGAGATGAGGCGCGCATTTTCGAAAACTTGTCTGACGCCCGTGGTCCCGCGTGTTGGACGTACTCACCCCATAAGCTTCCTGCAATTGGGCCGCCAAATTCCCAAAAGTGGCTGTGGGGGGGAGGGGGGTCAGGCTGATTCCCAGTCTATTTTCAAGACACATTTGCCCACAGGTTCTCGTTGTGGTGGGCTCACCATCCTAGCACCGCCCGCGGATGCACAGGCCTCACGACGTTGTTCCAGCAGCGGACACGGGTTACACACACACCCTTACGCACCGCAGGCCACTTTCTGCGCCAAGGGCGTGTACACAGCAACAGCCACGAGATGATTGATACGCCTGGCCTGAAGAACACCCACAACGTGNCGAGATGATTGATACGCCTGGCTTGAAGAACACCCACAACGTCACACCATCGCAAATCTCACCGCATTCCGCCCTTCAAAAAAAAGAAACACGCCACAGCAAGCCACAGCGACAGCAACCACAGCACCAAGGTAGCTATCCACACCCACTCTCCTCGGTATCGCCTTCACACCCAACTCGATTGCTGCGACCGACACCCCAATGAGGAACCACAAGTGCGTCTGTGATACTGAATTTTGTAGAGTTGTGAATCGGTAAGAAAAAACGATATATTTTACATCGGCTGCGCAGCAGCCGATATAACGATATTTTCTCCGATATATCGCCGTGATGGGGGCGAGCGAAGCGAGCCCCCCCATCGGCCCCCCCCGGCTGGTGAGGGGGCCTCGCCGGAGGCGCCGCCGGAGGCAGAAAATTTGGTGCATTTTCCTTTCATTTCCCGTCAAAATGGGCCCAAATGCGGCATCAAAAAGGGCTTGACTTCAGCTGCAAACATCGCACGGAATGTAGAAAAAAAAAAAAAAGATTAAGATTGATGTATTGTCGCGTATCCTCAGCAGTACCCTCCTTCGGTCTCTCCCTGTGTCTACTTCCCGGTTGGTTCTGGACATGGTGCTGTTGTCTGCTGTTTCTGCGCTGCTGTGCTGTGTGTGTGTGGCGTACAGGGGCTCCGTACTGCTGCGCATACCCTAAATTTGATTCACGGAGCCCCTAAGAAAACATCGGTCGGAACATCGGCACGAATTTTCGATACCGATATCGATATATATCGGACGATATATATCGTGTACATCGTTCCGATTCACAACTCT